CCTCGGAAACAAATAAACCCTCCTCAGAAACAGTTTCCCTCTCCTCGGATACCCATCACCACCCTTCCGATACACATCCCAACGCCGACCTCAACATTGATCTCGACATCATCTCTGAGTCTATCGCTGATCCACCAGCAACCCTCGCTCCTTTAACATCCTCCGATATTCCCATCTCAATTTCTTCCTCTCCAGCACTTCGACGCAGCACTCGTTCTCGGCAACCCAACGTACGTCTCCTCGACTACGCATGCTCACTGGTGACTGCTCCTACTCCCACTCCATCCTCTTCTTCGGTGTCAGGTACTCGCTATCCTCTCTCCAAATATCTCTCTTCTTCTCATTTATCTTCCTCATATCGCTCTTTTTTGCATAATATTACTACTTGTGTCGAACCCACTTCTTTTGCACAGGCTAACCTTGATCCCAAGTGGCGTGAAGCCATGGCAGCTGAATTGCAGGCTCTTGAACAAAATCATACATGGACTCTCACCTTACTACCTCCTAGCAAACGTGGTATTGGGAGCCGTTGGGTTTACAAAATCAAGCATAAATCAGATGGCTCTGTTGAGCGCTATAAGGCGCGGCTGGTAGCCAAAGGCTACACCCAAACTGAAGGCTTGGATTATTACGAGACTTTTGCCCCGGTGGCCAAATTGGTCACTGTTCGATGTTTATGAGCAGTGGCTGCTCATCACACTTGGCCTCTTCATCAACTAAACGTCCAAAATGCTTTTCTCCATGGTGATTTGGAGGAAGAGGTTTACATGTTACCCCCACCTGGCCTTCGTCGACAGGGGGAGCACTTGGTTTGTCGACTCCGGAAATCTTTATATGGCTTAAAGCAAGCTTCACGGCAGTGGTTTTCCAAATTTTCCACAGCTATTCAACATGCTGGTTTTCGACAATCAAGGGCTGATTACTCTATGTTCACTCGTGTAAAAGGTAAATCCATCACTGTGGTATTGGTCTATGTTGATGATATGATCATAACCGGAAATGATCCTACTTCCATACAACAATTAAAGGACTTTCTCCATCATCAATTTCGAATCAAAGATCTTGGTTTGCTAAAATATTTCCTCGGAATTGAAGTAGCTCGCTCCAAGGAAGGCATCTCCATTTCACAGAGAAAGTATATTTTAGACATATTGGATGATGTTGGTTTGTTAGGGGCTTGTCCTGTGGATTTTCCCATGGAACAAGACTTAAAATTACAGTCGACAGAAGGAGAATTGTTGAAAGACCCCACTCGTTATAGAAGAATTGTGGGGCGTCTCATCTATCTCACAATAACAAGGCCTGACATTTCATATCCTATACAAGTCCTCAGTCAGTTCATGAGCCAACCACGCAAACCACACCTTGATATCTTGGAAGACCAAGAAGCAGCATACAATATCACGATCTTCTGCGGAGGCAGAGTTACGAGGTTATTGTGATGCCTCGTGGGCGTCGTGTCCTACAACAAGGCGCTCCGTTACGGGATACTGCATCTTCTTAGGTAACTCCTTGATATCTTGGAAGACCAAGAAGCAGCATACAATATCACGATCTTCTGCGGAGGCAGAGTATAGATCAATGGCAGCAATTACCTGTGAACTCACATGGCTACGTTTTCTGCTACAAGATCTTCGAGTCCTTCATGCCGCACCTGCTCGGGTTCACTGTGATAATCAGGCCGCGCTACACATTGCGGCTAATCCTGTCTTTCATGAACGTACCAAACACATAGAGCTAGACTGTCATCTGATTCGAGAAAAAATTCAAGCTGGGCTTATCACAACTCATTTCACACCATCTAAACATCAGGTTGCAGACTTGTTTACCAAAGCACTTGGTAAACTCATGTTTCAAGCTCATTGCCGCAAGTTGGGCATGCACAATATCCATGCTCCAACTTGAGGGGGAGTGTTGAAATATGCAAATCATATCACAGATTATGTGGAGACAATTGTGATTTAGTTACCTTGTATAGGTCTTGATTATAGGATCTTGATTCTTTGTAATTACAGCACTTGCCTTGTATAGCCTAGCCCAGCCCTATATTACTATGTAATGTATTCATCTTTGATATATGAAAATACAGGAGTCTTCTCCTTCATTAAACGTTGCCTAGCCTCTGTCCTTAAAATTCCCACACCCAGAAATGAGGAAATGCCAACTTTTGTTGCGGGAGTAAAGCGGAATTACATATTTAGTGGAATTTGTAGCATTGCAGTAAATGCATCCATCAAGGTTTGTACCTTCTATAGAATCTTTTGTTAGGTAATTCATATATATATTAATATTTGAAGAGTATAGTCGCGCTGCTATACTTTTAAAATATTCAAATAAATTTGAAGAGTATAGCCGAGCGGCTATACTGTTAAAATATTCGAATATATTATTGGAAGAGTATAGCCGAGCGGCTATAACTTTAAAATTTTCGAATATATTTGAAGAGTATAGCCGCCCGGCTATACGGTTTAAATATTAATAAATATTAATATATGTTTAAAGTACAGCCGATCGGCTATACTGTACAACATGTTTTTTTTGTTTTGTTGTTGTTGTAATTAAGTAATATCTTAGTTTTTTCATTTCCTTTAATTAGTAATTATGTTTTAATTATTATTTATTTAGTGGATAATTAGTATTTCAATATTTTACTAATTTCATAAACTACATAATAAATTTAAATTAATAAATTAAAATTATTTTGTAGACTTAGTTTTTATTTTTTTTTTACAAAATTAGTTTGTTTAGTTTAATATTGGCAAGTAAGTAATATCTTAGCTTCATTTAATTATATTAATTATTCTTTATGTTTTAATTATTCTTTATTTTATGAGTATTTAGTGTTTAAGTATTTTAATTAATTTGATAAATTAACATGGACTATAGCCTAGGTGACTTGATTTTTTACACCCAAAAGTTAATAGGCAGCCTAAGTGACTTGATTTTTTACACCCAAAAGTTACCGAAATTTAGACTTTACTACATCAAGTTTTTTTCATATCAACTTCGTACACAAAATTTGAGTTTTCTCAAGTTTGATAGAAAAATCTCTTTTTTTTTTGCCCTTTAATTAACTAACCCAACAAATTTGATAGAAAGAAAAACATAAACCTCACACACATGACACATACTCCTTTTCAGAAAACACTCATTTCATTCCCTTAGAAAAAATCATTTGCCTTCGCTTTCCACCCTATGTTCAAATCATGAGTCCATCCTGCTCCCACATAAAGTGTGGTGCTTTATTCTTATCTTCTCCTGCAGGGTGATGACGACTTTCATTATAATGCAAAGGGCCACTTTGATTCGCATAAAAAAAGGGCCACTTCTGATAAAATTGAAAATATAAAAAAGCTTAGGAAGTTTAAAGGGACGTTACTAAACTTTTCCATATAGAAATGTGTAACTATATGTATGTGTTTAAAGGGCCGTGTGAAATAAAATAGGGTAAAACTGCTCTGCTGCCGCTAGTTCGTGTTTCGGGCTTGATGTATGTATGTATGTATGTATGTATTGTTAGGTTTATTAGATACTGTAAGCAGGACAACTTCATTTGTTTTCTTTCCCTTTCCCTAGTATGTGTTTCCATTCCAACAACAACTACAACAACGTTTCCATCCTTCAAATCAGGGTTATATTAGAATTATTCAAAGACCGATCAAACATCTTGGGCATTGGATTGGACCCCTTAAAAAAAAAACAAAAAACCAACCCCCCACCTAGACCCAGCCACCGAAAAAAAGAAGCAAATAAAAACATATACCCCCTCCCCTCCCCCGAAATTAAAATACGACAACTGGCACATGACAAATTAAATGGCAGTATAAGGATAAGGATAAAGGTATTGCAAACAGAGAGAGAGAGAAGCCGGTTTTGACCATGAATTCCATTTTCAAGCATGGATTGCAAAATACGTGTCAAAAAATCCAACAAAGTGAAAAAGAGAAAGAAGAAGAGCTCCTCATCAAGTGGACGGACTTGTGCTTGCTTACACCAGTGCTTACATCACCTCTCATTTTGTGCTCTCTCTCTCTCTCTCTCTAGAGATATATATATATATATATATAATCTCCTCAACTCACCTCACCTCAAGGGTAACATAACATATATCCGTTCTCATCATCTCAGTGATATAACAAACGAGACGACTTCATCTATCTATATATAATATATCTGGTTTTAATTGTTTGAGAGAGACAGCGCGAGAGAGAAGTTGAGATTTAGAAAAAAGAAAAAGAAAGAATGGCAGGAGGAGATGAAGTGAAGGAAGTGAGGAACCAGCAAGTGCTTGCTAGAGATTACATAAGTGCGATTCCGGAGGAGTCAGACATGTACTTGAACAGAAGCAGCACCATAAAACTGAGAGTTCCAGATGAAGATGATTGCCAAGAGGCCATGCTGCTCAAGAACCTCTACTTGTCCTGCGATCCCTACATGCGAGGCGTTAAGCACAGTGATGCAACCTCCTCGACTGACCAAGATCGCATTGTTTTCTTTGCCACCGACAAAGTAAGTAGTAATCAATCAAAATCAACATTACTTACTATCATTAATTTCTCTCTCTCTCTCTCTCTCTCTCTCTCTCTCTCTCTAATAATAATATATATACTCCTAAAAATTAATATTGGTTTAAACCCCCACGCACAGCCAATAGTTGGATATGGAGTGTCTAAAGTCGTAGATTCTAAGCATCCAGAGTTCAAGGCAGGCGATTTAGTTTGGGGCATAACAAAATGGGAGGAGTATACTCTCATAAAAAACACTCAAAGTTTCTTCAAAATCAACCACACTGATGTTCCCCTTTCCTACTACACTGGAATTCTTGGTAAACCCTTTCATTTAATTTTTTTAATTTTATTTTTGCTTTTGGTAAGCTCACCCTGTAATAAAGTTGTAATTAATGAATGTATTATAATATAATATGTATACAGGTATGCCTGGTATGACTGCTTATGCTGGTTTCTATGAGGTGTGTAATCCTAAGAAGGGAGAATATGTGTACGTCTCATCCGCATTTGGGGCTGTTGGTCAGCTGGTTGGCCAATTTGCTAAACTCATGGGTTGTTATGTTGTTGGAAGTGCTGGGAGTCAAGAAAAGGTAACATATCTCTTTCCTTTTCAACATCATCAATATTGATTTCAACTCTACTACGTATATCTAATTTTGATTTTGTTAGGTTGATATATTGAAAAACAAGTTTGGGTTTGATGAGGCTTTCAATTATAAGGAAGAGGCTGACCTGGCCGCTGCTTTGAAACGGTATTTCCCACAAGGCATCGACATTTACTTTGAGAACGTTGGGGGCAAAATGCTTGATGCAGTGCTCCTCAATATGAGGCTTCACGGCCGCATTGCTGTGTGTGGGATGATCTCGCAGTACAATTTTGAGCAGCACCAAGGAGTCACCAACTTAATGCATCTCATTTATAAGCGTGTTCGCATGGAAGGATTCTTTGTGTTTGATTTCTATCACCTCTATCCCAAGTTCTTGGATCTTGTGGTGCCCTACATCAAACAAGGCAACATCACTTATGTGGAAGACATTGTTGAAGGCCTTGAGAATGGTCCTGCTTCGCTCGTCCGCCTTTTCTCTGGCCGCAATGCTGGAAAAGCAGTCGTTGTTGTTGCTCGCGATTAATCTTAATTAATTATTTTTTGAATTATCCATCAGTTCACTTCTTGTATAAGTATTGTGTTGTTGTTTGTGTTTGTGTTTACTGTTCAATCGATGGGAAATAAAGAAAGTATATATCATGTTGTTTGTTGGTCGTTGGGTACGTCACGTACGTGTAACTTCAACACCTTATTTTATTAATTGTTGTGTTTTTCTCATGAAAAAAAGAAAGAAATAAGAAAAAGTATACATACATACATACAATATGCTTTAATTACTATTCCCGTATGGGATGTTCATCTGGGCTAAGATCCCAGGATTAAAATATAAAAATCCGTGTCGACTTAGCCGATAGGAACGATTACGTAATTAATGGCACGTAAACTAACAAAGAATGAAGAAGACAAAAAGGATTTGCCAAATGACTTGACTTTGATTTGTTTGATGTTGACTTACTGGAGAAGGATAACTTTGATTTATATATCACAGTGTCGGTAAATGCAATTGCCATGCAAGGACGGTGGTTACCTACCTGGAATTCTTCCGATCTCGTAAGCAATTACGTTCCCTTCCTTTCCTTGGCAATTAATAACAGTCAGAAAGAAAGTAGCTAGTCATACTGTTGAAGCATGAAACATTCAGTCCAATCCAATCCTTCCTTTCATGGACTAAATAATTAGGCTGCATATGCTTCTGCTATAAATAGGACCCTCGTCAGACTCAGAGTATATATGAGGAGGGTGCATGCAGATGCAGTCCAGGCCTGGGCGAAGTAGTAAAAAATGGAGATGAGCAACAAGCAGGTGATTTTGAGAGAGTACGTTTCTGGACGGTTTCCCACAGAGGCAGACATGTATGTGAATACAAGCAATTACATAAGCTTGAAGGTTCCTCCACAAGGCTCAACTGTGTTGGTCAAGAATCTCTACTTGTCCTGCGATCCCATGATGCGATTTCTCATCATGGATAATTCTCATCACAGGATGACCAAATACGTTTATTGTACCCCTGGCTCTGTAAGTCATCTTGTTGATCATCACTACTAATTCCCTCAATTTTTTTTTACAATTTTGTGTTGTTTAATATCTTATATATATCTTACATAAATGCATGCATATATATATATTACATGCAGCCAATATGTGGGTATGGCGTGGCTAAAGTTTTGGATTCCAGTCATCCAGAATTTAAACAAGGTGACTTAGTATGGGGGCTAACCAGATGGGAAGAGTACAGTTTCATCACAAACCCTGAAAGCCTCATCAAAATCCGGCACACTGACACTGATGTACCTCTTTCCTACTATACTGGAATTCTGGGTAAGTAATAGTAATTTCATGCATGCGCAGCATATCCATCCATCCATCCATCCATGCATACAAACCAATCCAATCCAATCCAATCCAATCCAATCCAATCCAATCCGCTGATGTACGTAGGTATGCCCGGTAAGACTGCTTATGCTGGTTTCTTTGAAGTATGCTCTCCGAAAAAAGGGGAATACGTGTTCGTGTCTGCAGCATCCGGAGCAGTTGGGCAGCTTGTAGGCCAATTTGCAAAATTGGCTGGTTGTTATGTTGTTGGAAGTGCTGGAAGTAAAGAAAAGGTACTAATATTAATTCATGATTATTATTGCGGAAGAGAAGAGTAGTAGTAGCTAGTAACACACACATGGTGGTTGAGTTGATTCTTTATTAGGTTGATCTACTGAAGAATAAGTTGGGGTTCGATGAGGCTTTCAACTACAAGGAGGAGCATGATTTAGACGCAGCTCTGAAAAGGTACTTCCCTCAAGGCATTGACGTCTACTTCGAGCATGTTGGTGGGGAAATGCTGGACGCTGTGCTGCTCAACATGAGAGAACACGGTCGCATTGCCGTCTGCGGAATGATTTCACAATACAACCTCCCCGAGCCTCAAGGAATTAAAAACTTGATGCAAATTGGATTTAAGCGACTGCATATACACGGATTTACACATCGTGATTACGATCACATTGTGCCTAAATACTTAGACTTTGTGCTGCCTTACATCCGCCAAGGCAAATTAGTGTATGTGGAGGACATAGTTGAAGGGCTTGAGAATGCTCCAGCAGCCCTGGTTGGGCTCTTCACTGATCGCAACTTTGGCAAACAAGTCGTTGCACTTGCGAGACACGACAATCAATCATCAAATCAAACTTAATTAGTATCTCTATTCTCTGCTTCTTGTTGTTGTTGTTGTTGTGCCCTCTTCTCTTCTTAACTTCTTATCTTATAGCGCTAGAGGTAGGCCTATAGCTACTTCTGCTTGTAATTCTCTGTCCTTTGAGAGAGCAAGGACAATGAGAAAATACATACTTTGGATTAAGCTACACATGCAAATTGAAGGAGATTCTAAGATTTTAGTTCAATTTCTCAAGAAACAAGTCCAAATTTCATGGAATATCCTAACAATTATTCAAGACATTTGTTGGTGCAAGATTTCACTCAAGTCACTATTCAACATATGTTTCACACATGTCGTATTGTAGTCAGCGGAAAGGCTAGAATGAGGAGCTAATTTGAGGACTCCCTTGTAGTCAGTGGGTTTTGATTTGCGAGGTTGATACTCAGCGCTCTGGCCAGGTGGGACCCTTTATCTTTGTTTGGATTGGATCAATTCTCTTTTATCTTTGGGCTTACATTTTAAAAGGCCCATAGGGCCCATTGTTCTTCTATAACTTGAATTTATTTTTGTATCTTTTTGTTCTTTTCTCAAAGCTTACATAGACCATTCTTAATATAGATCAAATATAAATAAAAGCTACATAGACCGCGAATATACGCTCTCCAACAAAGGAAAATACCAATATACGATATAAATGGAAAAAGTTCTATCAATTAAAGTTTTGTAATCATTAAAAGAGGGTAAATTTCATAGTTTTTTGTTTAAATTTCATAGTTAGAAAGATAAATATCTGGGATTGATATGGTATTATGATGATTGGTGTAATTAGCAATAAACATTTTTTTTTATCATTTACTTATATAGAAAAGGGGTTCTTAGATCTAGGTCCAAAATGATTAGCTGTAATTGGGTCTAGTCCTTTTGTTTTTGGTTTTAGATGTAGGTCCTTTGACATTTATTACTTTTTTGTTGTGTCGATTTTACCCTTTAAAGTAAATAAGGAAAACACATTGAAAATCTAAATTTAATGCATTATTTCCTTGAAATTGAATTCCAAATTTTGAATTTTGAATTTTTTTTTCTTGATAATATTCCTAATATATAGATAAAATATAATTTAATCAATAAAAAGTAAAAACTCACATATTATACCAATCAATCAGACAAGCACCCACATTAAATTATGTACCTAACATATAGGTAAATAATGTTAATACATACACGTATATATGTACATGCCTTACTGGTAAGTGTTTTTTTCTTGAGTTTTCTTAAGCAGTTTTTTCTGGAGGTTCATATTTATATACATATGTACATGTCTTCCATGTAATAGTGTTTTTTTTTTTTTT